CTTCAAGTGGTCGCGCGGCACGCCCAGCACATACCGCTCGCAGCGACTGATTGACCCTGCCAGGGTAAGCCCGCACACATACGATCGGCAATGGCCCCAGCGCGACACGCTCCCCCCACCTCCCCCCCCCCCCGCCGCCGAGCGTCGCGCGCCCCTCGCCGTCGGCGGCCCCCCTCCTCGACAATCCGTTCCTCTAGGCCCCCCAGGGCCCCTGAGGGGTCCGAGGGGTGGGGGTGGTATCGCGCTGGGGCCACTGCGCAATCGGATGTTGTGAGGGGCCCTTCTTCTGGGCCATCTGACCCCATCGTGTGGAGACGCACTGAGGCGGAATGTACCTCGCTCGCACCGCTGACGCTGGCGAAAAAGAAGCCAGCTCCTTATGCACCAAAACTGATTTGTCCCTCCAAAGATGCAAGAGTTTGACCATGCTGGGCACGCACCGCACGCCCATGCGCGCGTGAAGGGTCTCGTTGAGCCTCTTGAGCAGCTTGGACACAATAAGATGGTACACGTGGCATAAACAATTGCTCTCCCAAATTATAGTGCACGGATCCCGCAGACAATCTTGCTGGATGTATGCCCTCGCCCCGAGCTCGTCTGCCCCCTGGTCGGTAACGAGGCAGAACATTGATAGGAGGCGCCCGTGGGGGGGCGGGTCCAGGCGGCTCGCCCGCTGGAGCTCGTCGACGAGCGCCGGGAGCTGGGCCGCGTGAGCGCCCGCCTGCTCGTCCTGGATCGCCGCGAAGTTGCGGCTGGATTGCCTGGCAGCGGGCGCGAGGCAAAACGGGGCCGAGCGGCGCGGGGCAGCAGATGGGCAAGGGGCGAGAGGTGGAGAGGGGGTGGGGCCCGGGGCGGGGGCTGGAAAGAGAAACGGGTGGCGGGCCCTTGCCCTTGTCCTCCTCCTCCTCCTCCTCCTCCTCCTCCTCCTCCTCCTCCTCCTCCTCCTCCCCCCTATCTCTCCGCCTCCTCTTCCTCCTCCTCCTCCTCCTCCTCGACTCCCCCCCTCTCTCTCCTCATCTTCCTCCTCCAGATCCCCTCTTCAACATCCCCCGCTCCGCGCGGATTGAAAGGGCCCGGTGACCAGAGAGGCGCCCCGGCAGACTGGATCTGCTTGTTCCCCACCACGTATGTGCCAGCCGCGTCCTTCTGATTACAGATCTGGATGTCGCACACAGTCGTCCGTTCCTGAGACAGCTCCCGCACCTGATCCCAACTCATGTTCGCACGCATTGCCGTGCACACGTATGTCGATGAGACCTGGCACACACGGAGGCAACACTTCTGCCACACAGCTGAATTCGTAGCGTCGCCTCGCACCACGTGCAGTTGCATCCTCCACCCGACTTGAGGAACAGCATCACACATCAACCTCGCGCGGCACGTAGAGTGGAACCGTTTGGCCGCCATGATCGTCGCGGCTCTGAATTTCACTTCCCACCGCGTCACTGTTGGTCTGGATACGTCTGTCATTATGGCCAGGCCTAACGCCTGCGCAGATATGTTACTCATGCAACGTCGCAACACCATACAAAACCCACCATTTGGAGTAAGATATCGTTCTTGTCGCCCCCGCTTATAATTGTGCTCGAACCCGATCAACTGTTGTCCCAGGCCAGCAGCCCTCTCCCTCTTCTTCTTCCTCCTGCTCTGAGGTTTCGCCGCAGCGAACTTCATCTTCCAGCGGTCCCGGGATCGGAGTGAGTTCCGAAGTTGTCGCGCCAATTCATCTGCACGCGCCTTTTCCTCATCTGCTCTGTCGGTGGCTCTGGCGAGTGCCTGAATAGCGCCCTCCCGATCCAAGTGGGCAAACCGATCGTCCTCTGCGGCGGCACCACCGTGTCCGGCGTCTTCAAGGGCTGGGGCAGGAGGTAGAGGAACTGGAGCCGGGGCTGGCGCGGGGGCCGCTGGAATCGGTACTGCGAGGCCCGCTCGGACACGATCCCAGTCGTAGCACGCTGGTAGTCCGACACGCCCCACCACAACATGTACAACGCCAACACGGTACAATTCTAGGCCATTGCACACCAGTCTATGTTGCACGAGCTCTACATCTTGCCACATCTCGGACGGGAGTGCCCGAGTAATCTTGAAACCGACCGACTTGGCAATTTCCAGCACAACTTTGACAGTAGACGCACGAGACAAGGCAACGCCTCCATCAGAGAGTTGGTGGCTATAGCGTCGAATCGACGCGATCACTCTCCTGTCGAAAAAACTGGCACACATGACAGCAACACGCTGAGCCCAAACGGCTTCGACGGGACCAAGTCTGCAACGGGCCCAAATGCAGCCAGGCAGCGTCCCTACTCCAATCGGGCGAGCAGGATGCGGTGAAGGCGGATGAGGAGGACGAGGGAGGAGGAGGAGGAGGAGAAGGAGGAGGAGGAGGACGAGGAGGAGGAGGAGGAGGAAGAGGAGAAGGAGGAGGAGGAGGAGGGGGAGGAGGAAGAGGAGGAGGAGGAGGGGGCTGGCTTGGATTAGCGGGGGCATCCCCGCCCGCCCGAGAACATGTGAGTCGGCCCAGGTGCGCGTTACAAAGGAGGCGAGATGCCTCCCCCCATCCGTCCGTTCCAAGACGGATCCCGACGGCTTAAGAGGAGGAGGAGGAGGAGGAGGAGGAGGAGGAGGAGGAGGAGGAGGAGGAGGAGGAGGAGGAGGAGGAAAGGTGGTGAACATGTTTTTCGGCACGCGGCCAGGGCCAACAACAAAACCGCCCGAAGGCATGCCGAGATGGGCCACCAGGACCCCATTTGGATCCCGAGATCAGGTGAGAAGGCTAGGAGAAGGAGCGCCGATCCCCACAGGCACCCCATAAAACTGCTGTGAAGGTTCGGGGCGACCCTGCCCTGAAATGATGTGGAGCCCGTCTTGGAACATTTCGGGGCCCTTGGGGTGCCCTTTGAGGCCCTTTGGGGGTAAACTGGTCCTGGGATGCGGGTCTCACTGCATGGGTTGTGCACAGGCGCGTGGCAAAACCAGAGAGGTGCGCACCAAGCTGATCTAACATGTGCGCGTGGAGTTTCGCACGGGATTGGGGGCCGTCTGAAACAAAACGACAAAGTTAATGGTGTCCCAAAACTGAAAAACGTACTAATCGGAATTCCAGGGTGCCAGAAATTGCGAATCGAACACATCGGCCCATGCAAAAACTGCCGCTTTTGAGGGTTCCCGAATCACGAAACTGGGTTTTCGACGTACATGCAATGCGATGTTCATGTTTTGTTCGTTGGTGGGAACTAGGATTTGCGATAATTCGAATATGCAGAATGGTGTTTGGCTGCCTAAGTGGAACTCCATGTGTGGCAATGTTGCTCTGCCCGACGCTGGAGTTTGGTGCTCCTGCTTGCTACAAGGCATATGCTGGAGACGAAAACTGATGAGCGAAGTTAGTGACCAGGACGAGCGCATCGGGACCAGCTCGCCCGCAACGCCTCGACAAAACGCTCGTCGGGAGTTGACCCGCCGAAGTCGAGCCGACGACCCCTGACCACGGAGGGGGGCTGGGAAGTTCACCCCCAGTTCAAGTGTGGCTCAGGAATTGCACCATCGAGCCAGACAGCAGCATGGCTGATCACTCGCGGAGAGCATGCACCTCAAGTGTGGTTCAGGTGTGGTTCAGGTGTGGTTCAGTTGTGGTTTCAGTCTGGTTCAAGTGTGGTTCGAGTGTAGTTCAGGAATTGTACAGTCGAGCGAGGCATCAGCATGGCTGATCACCCGCGGTGCGCATGTACCTCAAGTGTGGCTCAGGGGTGGTTCAAGTATGGTCCAAGCATGGTTCAGGGAGTGCACCATCGAGGGTCGCAGCGGCAGGGCGGGCGTGCCCGTAGCGGGCCATGGCTCCGTCTGGGGGGCCAGAGTCCCCGCGTAAACATATGTCGTGACCGCGAAGCCCCACGAAGCGCGGAGCCGCGCGGCACCGCGCTTGACGAAGCGGCGCCGCGCGGCATCTCGGGGCACGAAGCGCCTACCAGCTTGGGAAAACGTTGCTGCACGGCCCTGCGCGAAACCGCACTGCGCGGCGCGACGCGGCGCCGCGGGAACCGAACGGGCGTCGTGTTGGAATGAAATTTGCGTGCCATGCGGGGTAGCGGATAGTGCCGCGCGCGCGACGCCAGTCCGACGCGCGTAAACGAACAGTGGGATATCGCTGATCTGCAATGTTGACGCGTTGCGCTCACGCGCGCAGGCAAATCCAACGAGGCGCCCCCTTCCAATCTCAAATGTGGCCGTAGCGGCTCCCGCGCAGCCATCCAGCTGGAAGCCGTCCCAACCTAGAGCGCGCACTCGTGACAAGATTGCCAGAATGCGCGCCAATCGTTTGGTGGCGGGCAGACGTCGGACGCCCCGTAGACGTGCAACGGTGGGACGAATGGCGCCACGCGGCGCGGGAATATGAACGCCGTTGCATATTGCGTGGGTTGCGGCCAATGCTGTTACATGCGCGATGGCGCGGCGGTCTCTCCTTTTTCTGGTTATGCAACTGCTACTTTTTACATAGTCCCGGGACCATGAGGGAACCAGGCGTGTGCGCCAATTCTCGATAAGGGACACAGGCGTGTGACTTGATTGTCTACAATTACGGTCGCGGGTGCCGCATCTCAATGCCTCAGCAGCCTGCAGTCGACGCTCGAATGCCCTGTCTTCTAGCGCCTCGCACCTAGAAGCGACATGGACGAGCGGACTGGCATCGCGTGACCCCCCGTGCAAGACAGTCCTTGCACGCAGACATCATCGCGAAATCAAGCTTCGCGTCGCTTGCCATCGCGAGAGCGGCGGTGCCACCAGGCAGAACGCATGCAAAACATGCGACAATCCAAAGCACCGCAGCCCATGCTGCACATGGCCGCGCCAGGGGCCACATAGAACTCCATGGCAACGCGCAGACGCACAAGCGCAGCTCTACTTTTTGGGTTGCAAGCGCGACGCGCGTGTCCTTCCTGGAACCACGAGGGGGCACGCGTGTGCCTCCATTTTCTACGAGCAGGGGCCTCTGTTCCGTA